AATGGAGCCAAAACATCAGATAGCAAAAATAAATAGTCTGCAGCTGCACAGTTGTATTTAAATGTCATTACTGGAACACAGACAGAATCAAATTTCTACTTCTCTTGTAATTATATTTAATCCAACCTTTTTTGACAAATCATATAGCTTGCCAAACTGGAACTGAGGCATACTACTTCCACGCTGGTGTAAATTCAATAATTCCCAAATGTAAACAAACTGGGGATTATTTTACATGGCTTCTGGCACCAAGTCTCCACAGACAGGACATAAATAAAAAGGTAGGGACAAGTCAATACACAGTCCATTCTAATCTGCTTTCCCAGTGAGATTTAATATTGGGGGTCTTCATTTGCATACTTTCTAGTGCAATCAGTTAGTATATGTTTACTACTCTAACTTTATCAATTGTGATCTGCCAGTTATTGAACTAACAGTTATGGTTTGCAACAATAAAGTAGTTAGCAATTTTTCAGGTGCTGAGTTCAACGAAACACAAACGATTTTTATTTATTCATTCACAAGATGTGGGCATCGCTGGCTTGGCAGAATTTACTGCCTATGTCTAATTGCCCAGAGGGCAGGTAAGAGTCAACCACATTGTTGTGGGTCTGCAGTTACATGTAGGCCAGACTAGGTAAGGATGGCAGTTTCCTTCCCTAAAGGGACATTAGTGAACCAGATGTGTTTTTCCAATAATCAACGATGGATTCACGGGCATCATGAGACCCTTAACTCCAGTTTTTTTAAAATTGAAACATGTGAGTATTTCAACTTTGGAAGGCAATAGAGCTGCAGCTACCACATGGGTCTGGCTGACCAGGAACCTCTCCCTCTCTTACCAGCTGTCATCATGGAAGGATTTACAGACTGACGCTCAACCCATTTGGTTATGTTATGACACATCTGTGGTGATCAAATTCTGAGTAGGATCTTGAACCAAGAATTTCTGGCCAAGAAGTAGACTACAACGAGGCCTCCAAGAAAAATAAGAGTTTTGGACAAAATGTGGGATCAAACCTACATGGAAGCTGAAAATAAAAGAAAATAGAGAGTATTTCAAAACTTTGTGGTACTGTTATGTAACATCAATGTCCTTCAAGGCCATTGCAGCCACAGGCAAATGTATCAAGTCAAACTTAATTCCCTGTTTTGCTAAGTCTCACTAGGATGGTGCGCTGGTAATCAAGTCCAGCTATTCCCAGAGTAGTCACAGAAGTTACAAATTTTGTTAAAGTACATAAAATCTGCACCTGAAAACCCAACACCCCCACCCAGACAGCATGGATTAGCTTTCACAATAATTACTACTTACTATAAATAAATAGCCTCTTGTTACAGATTTAAAAAAAAACTATGAACCACAGACATACAACTCAATTAGTTAAACCTTTAACCTCTTACGTAAAATGAACTCTGCCTACACACACACACACACACACACACACACGCGTGCGCGCAGGCACAACAAAATATGGGTCATTTCAACAGAGGGATAAAAAGTTTAATGGTTCCTGTACACCACGTTTGCTGAAACAATTTTTTTGGCTTGTCAGGAGCTGCTGCTTCTCAACCTTCCATCTTCATGTACGTTCACTTGCTTGCAGGAGGCACAGGGTTACTGATTCACACTTGCAAAGACAAAGAATTATTGTTAAAAGGCACAGCTTACAGCAACTAACAAGGAGAGGTAAACCCGTTTTCTTACGGCTCAACGTGTATTGCAGAACAAAGGACAGCTCCATCCTTTTTAGAGATCCGATGGCTTCTGTCTAGTTAAACAAACTGTTCAGCTACCTAGAAGCCAAGTCACATAGTTGTTGGCAGACAGAAGGCCTTGTCTCAACTCACCGTCATTCTGCAGACCAATCAACAAGTTCTTGCCAGCCAAATCTCTGTACACATCCTGGCTCCAATTCATCAGTAATGAACTCCCCCAATGCTTGAACAAACAGCAGTGTAAACAGCACTTAACAGGCATCAGGTAATTTGTTTCCAAAACGTGCAGTAATTAGCATCCCGGCTGTACAGTTTTTCGAGATTCGTGTATGACAATGAATACCAGAATCAGAAGTTAATACTGCAAAGTATGCTGTCGCCAATTGCCATGCACAGAATTTGAAGGGCTGCATCTGCACACCTCTGAAGGAACACTGGCAGTAATCTTTTGTTTTTAAAATAGTCCTTTTCCAATTTCAGTCCACAATCAAAAATTCAGATAAATAAAAGTTAGTATTGCATTACTGTTTAAAATGTCTTTACAGTTTGCAGCTACTGAAAAGCAATTATCATAACCTGCAAAATTCATTACAAGTGCTATGATGACATTCAGTTTAGAAAAATACATGACGCCATGCATATTGATAAATGATACCACACCGCTAATACATGAAAGTGATAATAACGACACATAATTCACACATAATAAAGCACAAATTGATAAACATATCTAGGACTTTAAAACCTAAGCTTGGTATTGGCTAACCAAATGTACCTTATTTGGATAAACTTATCTTCTACTGTTCAAACTTGGATGTCTTCAATTTAGTTTCTGACAAGTGTTGAGCAAAATTCTTCCAAGACATGCAACAACATATGATGCGCAAGAAGGTCCAAAATATTGCAAAGAAAGATTTAAAAGTTTGCTTGAAATAAGAAGAAAGCTAAAAAGTATTTCAAGAGAAGCACTGGTTATGGAACTTTTTTCACTGGAGTGTAGGAGATTGAGAGGTGACCTGATAGAAGGTTATAAAATAATGAGAGGTATAGAGAGAGTTGATGGTAGTTGTCTTTTCTCCAAGTTGGGAAGGACTAGGGGACACATTTTTAAGGTGAGAGGAGCGAGGTTTAAAAACGACCTAAGAGGCAATTTTTTTTTTTTTTTTAAAAACACAGAGGGTGGCTCGAGTGTGGAATGAACTTCCTGATGAAGTTGTAGATACAGGTACAATTACAACATTTAAAAGACATTTTGATGGAATATAAGAATAGGATATATGAAATATCCTTCTCTCATTGCTGTTTGTAGTGATTTATGGGGAGAAGGCGGCCTAGTGGCATCATCATTGGTCTGTTAATCCAGAGACAGAGGTATTTTTCCAGGGACCTGGGTTCAAATCCCGCCAAGGTAGATGGTGGAATTAGAATTCAATAAACGTCAGGATTTGAGAGACTAATGATGACCATGAATCTATTGTCAATTGTCAGGAAAAACCCACCTGGTTCACCAATATCCTTTACGGAAGGAAACTGCCAACCTTACTTGGCCTGGCCTGGCCTACATGTGATTCCATATTCCAGATGTGGTTGACTCTTAACTGCCCTCTGGGCAATTAGGGATGGGCAATAAATGCAGGCCTAGTCAGTGATGCCTTCATACCATGAATGAAGAAAAAAAAAAAAAAAAAAAGAGGTTTGGAGGGATCCAGGAGCAGGTAGGTGGGACTAGTTTAGTTTGGGGTAATGTTCAGCACGGACGGGTTGGACTGAAGGATCGGTTTCTGCGTTGAATGACTCTAATGAACATTTTTATTTAAGGAAAAAAATTCAAAGATTTGAGCAACGTTATTTGGTTGCTTTCAAGCTGTTGCTAACTCGAAGACAAATTGGTACAACATTTTTTATGTTCAAGTCTGAATACGAAATCTGGAGACTATACAGCACTTTTGCCAAGGTCAACACAAAGATAATCAGAAGAAAAATGTTTAAAAGAAAACATTATTATTAGGAATCCAACAGCTGCCAAGCAATAACACTGTCAAATCAGATTAGGCGTGCTTCAACAACCACACACATTAATAGCTGGGCTAGGCTTGGCTTCAGACAGTATATTTTCAAATTAAAATGGAATTCTTCATTTTTTTTTTTTTTTTTTTAAAAGGTGTGCGGTATTAGAAAAAACTTGGAACCATCATTCGTCAAAGAAAAACTGTCAAAAGGAAATAAGAACAAGTCTGGATAGGAGCAGCACACTTCGATGTTTTCTGCCCAACATGGAGCTTAAGGCAATATTTCTGTAGACCTTTCTAAAGAAATGCAATAAATTTTTGCCATATTTATTAGCAGTGTGCTCTAAGCTTTCTTATTTCTAATTTCTTATTTTAACAAAATCATCTAAAAAAATGATTTTTTAGGTAGAAAACTTGATATTCCTACACACAAGAGAACTGTACAGTTGCACTAAATTATAATGCTCAAGAATCAGGATAACGTAAATCTTTAGATTCTTTAGTCGCACATTATATCCACACTATACATTTTCCTTTTGCATTCTCAATTGAATCCACAACAAACTTGTTATACATTACGGATTGAATAGCAGTCATTCAAAATAAAATGGCTACTCACCACTGATACGCTGTCCTCTGAAAGCTCCAAGACTTCAGACATTGCTTTCTCTAAAACTGGTTTCTAAAATGTGTTCTGTGCAACTGACAGTACCAAGTGAAAATACTGCAACCTTGCAGCAGACAAAGAAGGGTATTCTTGCAATCAACAAAAAAAAACTCAAAAAGTTTTAATAAATCAAGAGCTTTATTCTAAGAGATGCAAAAAATATCCTTGATAGCATCACAAACCATATTGTTGCCTTGAGAGCTTTCTAATCCTCTTCAAACAGTTCAATTAAAATAATATGTTCCATAATTTTCTTCTGAATGGTTCTTTCAAACAGCTGAAACAGGAAAGAACTGCCTGGCAACCACCTCATACCTAAATACCACTTCTTTGCCTAGCTCAATCACAGAAATCAGGTTTTCATGCTACACAATGAGTGACAGCATTGTCAGCCAATCAGCTTGGATTTTTAAGTAAAATCATCCCATATTTTATTCAAAGTAAGGTCATATGACCTTAATTCCAAATGCGATTTGTTCAGGATGAGTCTAGTGCTTGAAACTAATCACAATTTCAAGGCCACCCATTTAAACGTTTCATATATGGCTGTGTAGTGCTTTTGGGGTGATATATAAATATATAGAAAAAAAAAAGTGCAATCTCACCAGTGATTCCCAATTGTTAAAGGGCCGGAGTTCTATAATCTTCTGAGCCTTTCTCAAAGAACATTGAGGTATAAGAGAAAGTTCATCCACTGTACCATCCTGCAAGAAGCTGACTATTTTAGTCCTGTATTCATCTTCCATCTCTTCATCTGCACTACTATAGTCTTCATCAAGTGAGCTCTCACCACCAGAAGGAATGGATTCCACATCTTCAGAATCGCTACATTCCCTTTGAACGCTTCTACCATCTTTTTGTCCTTTGCCACGTTTTTTGCTTTTACCATTCTGACCTTTCGCTGTTCCAGATTGTTTCAACTGCACTGCTGGCAACTCTTTTAGTTGCACTTTAAAATGTGAGTTGGCACCTTTTCCATTTACGCTGTTAGGCTCTGGCATACAAGGCACTTCATCTTCTAAATATACAGAAGAAATGCTTTTTAGTTTGGAACAATTCAAAAAAAGGAACAAAGTTTAAACTTAATTTCAATAAAGCTACATCGATAAACTGGTTTTAACAGAAACTCTTCTATATTCATTGTCTTAAACTAACACAATTATTTTAAAATAGTGGGGCAGCAGGAGCCAAAAGGGGCATTTTAATTTTGATATTGACATAATTAGAGTTAAAAGTTCAAAAGTAGAAACTCAAATGAAAACGATTTGTGTATAGATACTCATAAATTTAAATCAATATTTTTCCTGTGACAGCTACCATCCAAGAAAATGTTTCAAACACAATAATTTTCATCTGAGACACTGAACAGTGCTAGCAATCTGCAGCTTTATTAAAGAGATATAGTTAAGAATGCATGAAAGCACATAAATCCCCATCTTCCAATACAAATCTGGATGCACAGGAAATTTCTATATATGAAAAAGCTGTCACTCATGAATCTTTCACAAAGCGCAGCTACTGAATCCAACCTAACCTCTCAAGTAGCATAAACTGCTAAAGATGTCTAAACTAATTAATTAGTTATATCATTTACAAGATATTTGAATTAGGTTGCAGAAAATATTGTTAGGAACTCATGATTAATTATGAACAAATATTTTAACTGGAAAGGGAAAAACAAAACACTTAACGTTCATGGCTGGGAGTTGATGTTAAAAGGCAATACTTGGAACAATCTTGACAAGCCATGGGAGTTTTCATGTCTGCCAGTTATCAGAAGCTTGTCTATTTAACATGGTTTCTAATTCAAAGTATTCTTAATTTCACACTTTTGACAGCTATTCCTCAGCTTTAGATGAGCAATCACCAAAAATTGTGATCAGGTTGAAGCTCAAAACATTAGTTTTTCAGGGAGATTAACTGCATTTTTAAAAATATATTTAAGACATAGCTGTTAGATTTTCATAAATATGTTGGATGCACAATTAATTATTTTGAAGAATTTTGTATTATAAAAGCTGCAGTTATACTGAAAAACTAATTTCAAACCAATGGTAACTGAAGTGTGCAAAATATAGTTCACAAGACTGAAATCATACAGTGCATAGCATGTTACTGCTGCTAAAACTCGTAGGGAGAGGACTTTGTAACATGTATAATTATATGCATGTTCAGAACTCTACTGACTGGCAGTTGTTCAAGTCTCAGGAATGAATGGGTAGCAATATTGGCTCTCTCATGATATAATTCCAAGTTTATGAAGTGCTCAGTTATCTACCACCTGTCCCACAGATTTTTTGAAGATCTGATGGTTCAGAAATCTCAAAGGTTCCCAAATTTTCCTGACACTTTGCTTGGCATACACCCAAATCCACTAAACACAAAGGAAATAACCATAACGCTAGAGTTTACAACTGTACTGGGTGCTGACAAATATACTGGGGAATTTTAATCAAAGGAATTACATTTAGCTACTTAGTGCAATAGAAATTATTGGCTTTCACCCACTACTTTTTGTGCCTTCTAACATTTGTGGGCCACTTCTGCTCTGCAAACAGAGGTCTTGAAAACATTCATAATGGCATAAAATGCTTGAAAATCAAAAGCCAACCAACAACGGTCTGTAAACTAATTCATCCCTAATGTCCTACACTCAACCAGCAGTGCTGCATGACTATGGTAGTTATTTGCTGGGCCATGAAGTGCCCTATTATAATTCACAAAGTACAGTTCCAATGTGCAAGATTTATATTGATGTACATTACTAATTATATATTTTCAAAAATGAATCATCGAATAAAATACACACAACCTAGAACATGTTGGTATACATAGCTCAAGCTTTGTGAGTGACATCAATTCTCTTCATACTCATTTCCTTGAGGAAACAAACACCAGTTTGGAATAAATATAGAAACTCTCATGCTAAATTTATATTTTAACTATATGCAAAACGCAAAGAAAACTTTCAAATAGTAAAAATATTTATAGAACAAACTATCCTCTTGACACTTTTGTTTGGGGGAAAAAGCCTTATTCAGTTTAGATTTTAATCAAGCTATCCTGCAAAGGACAAATCATGCAACTTGTACCTTGATTGGTAAATGCCTGCAAAGCTTCCAAGGCCTCCCAAAAGGACCAGTCATGTTCTTCCAGGACTTCCTTGAGTTCCTAATAGAGTACAGAATATGAATCACAACTACATTCAAAACCATATTTATAAGATGAGCCACTTTTGTTCTGTCATGATAATCATTATGCTTTCACAGCCGGGTGGATTGCAATGATCAATTCCTATTGGGAACCTCTAACCTCACCACATTTTTGAAGGAATACATCAGTCACACATAGTACAATAATCCCAACTATTAACATGCTACAGAAATTCCATCAACCGAACAAAAAAAAAAACAATTATAGTAATAGGCAGAGTTGAAAAAACTGCCTTAACATGCAAATTGCTATTGTCTGAACGCATAATATTAGCTATTAATATACAGTCATACAGCAACGAAACAAACCCTTGGTTCCAACCAGTCCACACCGACCATAATCCCAAACTAAACTAGTCCCGCTTGCCTGCGCTTGGCCCATATCCTTCCAAACATTTATTATTCACGTACTTATCTAAATGTTTTTTAAACATTGTAATTGTGCTAGCATCCACCACTGCCTCTGCAAATTCATTCCACACACGAACCATTATATTAAAAAAATGCCCCTCATGTCTTTTTGTTAAATCTTTCTCCTCTCACCTTAAAAATATGCCACCTAGTCTTGAAATTCCCCACCCTAGGGAAATGACACCTGACATTCACCTTATCTATTCCCCTCATTTTATAAATGTCTATAAGATCACTTCGCAATCTCCTAAGCTCCAGTGAAAAAAGTCCAAGCCTACCCAACCTCTTCTTATAAATCAAATCCTCTATCTCTGTAAACACCCAGGTAAATCCCTTCTGAACCCTCTCCAGCTTTTTCGTATAACATTTTCGTATAACAGGCAGACCGGAACTGGATACAGTACTCCAGAAGAGGCCTCACAAATGTATAACCTCAACATAACGTTCCAACTCCTTTACTCAAGTGGCTGAGCAATGAAGGCAAGCATGCTAAACGTCTTCTTAACCACCTTATCTATAATAGAGTCATACAGGAATACTACATGAAAACAGACCCTTCGGCCCAAACTGGTCCACGCTGACCATGGTGCCCACATTTGGCCCGTATCCTTCTAAACCTTTCCCATCCACGTACCTACCCAAATGTGTTTTTAAATGTTGCTACTGTCCTTGCTTCAACCACTTTCTCTGGCAGCCTATTCCGTATATGTAACACACTCTACACGAAGAAGTTACCCCTCAGGTCCTTCTTAAATCTATCCCCTCTCACCTTAAACCTATGCCCTCTACTTTTCAATTCCCATTCCTGGGAAAACGACTATATGTATTCACCCTATCCATGCCCCTCATGATTTTATACACCTCAACAAGGTCACCCTTCATTCTCCCATGTTCCAAGGAATAAATTCCTACCCCGACCAACCTCTCCCTATAACTCAGGTCTACTAGTCCTAGCAACATCCTTGTAAATCTTCTTTGCACAATTTCCAGTTTAACTATGTCCTTCCCATAACAGGGTGACCAAAACTGTACACGATATTTCAAATGTAGCCTGACCAACAACTTATACAACTGTAACATAACATCCCAATTCCTCCACTCAATGCCTTGACCAATGAAAGCCAGCATGCCAAATGCCTTCTTCGCCTCCCTGTCTACCTGTGATGCTGCTTTCAATGAACTATGTACATATACTCCTAGGTCCCTCTGCTCGCCCACACTCCTCAGGACCTTATCATTTATTGTACAAGTCTTACCTTGGTTGGACTTTACAAAGTGCAACACCTCACTCTTATCTGTATTAGATTGCATTTGCCAATCCTCCGTCCCTTTCCCCATCTGATCAAGATCCCGCTGTAATTTTCGATAACCTTCCTTGCTTTCAACGATACCTCCTAGTTTTGTATCATCTGCAAACTTACTAATCATGCCTTGTTTTTTCTGAAGAAGGGTCTAGGCTCGAAACATCAGCCTTCCTGCTCCTCTGATGCTGCTTGGCCTGCTGTGTTCATCCAGCTCTACACCTTGTTATCTCACATTCTCATCCAGATCATTTAAGTAAATAACAAATAACAAAGAACAAAGGTCCCAGCACCGACCCCTGTGGCACACCACTAGTCACAGGCCTCCAGTCCAAGAAACAGCCTTCAACTATCACCGTCTGCTTCCTACTAGCAAGCCAATTTTGAATCCAATTAGCTAGCTCTCCCTGGATCCCAATCGACCTAACTTTCATGACTGGCTTGCTGTCTAGGACCTTGTCAAAGGCCTTACTAAAGTCCATATAGACAACGTCCACTGCTCTACCCTCATCTATCCTCTTGGTTACCTTTTTGAAAAGGTCGAAGATTTGTCAGACATGACTTTCCATGCACAAATCCATGCTGACTATCCCTAATCAGACCTTGACAATGTGATGCAAACTTCAAGGAATTATAAACTCCTAGGTCTCTCTATTCTACAACACTGTCCAAGGCCCTACTTTTAATTATATAAGGCTTATTTGTCTGTTTTACAAAAAGTGCAATACCTCGCATGTATCCAAATTAAACTCAATTTGCCATTCTTCAGCCCATTGACTCAATTGATCAAGATCTCTTTGTAATCTTACATAACTTTCTTCACTCCCCATATATGTTTCGATCTTTTCATTCCATTGCTCTAGTATACAAGTTATGCAGGTAATTGGTCATGCACAGGCTAAGTGCCTATTTTTAAAATGTAACTTAAATTGCAAATTATCTTGAAACAAAAATGTTTTCTCTCTTTCCAAACAAACAGACATTGAACATACTCAAGCTCTCAAAAGCTTAAGGGAAGCTAATGCTTGAACTGTCGATGACCAGCCTTCCTGCAGTTGTAAATCAGACTATACATTGAATAGAATTGGACATTTCACAGACCACATATCAGACTTCCTGAGTTAACAAGGTGTAGAGCTGGATGAACACAGCAGGCCAAGCAGCATCACGCCTAGCCTGAAGAAGTTACCCTCCTCCCTCCGGACAAACCTCAGGGGATCTCTCTCCCACTGCAACTCTCTCGTACCTGTCTGTCTCCTCTCCACCTATCTTCTCCTCTATCCATCTTCTATCCGCCTCCCCCTCTCTCCCTATTTATTTCAGAAACCCCCTTCCCCTTCCCCATTTCTGATGAAGGGTCTAGGCCCGAAATGTCAGTCTTCCTGCTCGGCCTGCTGTGTTCATCCAGCTCTACAACTTGTTATCTCAGATTCTCCAGCATCTGCAGTTCCTAATATCTCTATCAGACTTCCTCACAGCTTTCGCGGATGATGCCAAAATGGCACTTCGCCACAATGCGTGGTCACTGAGTTAGGATTACCTACAATGGTAAGCAATGAAAGGGTGCTTCAGAAATCAATCTATAGATAGGAAAAACATTAGAACTATCACTAGTCTACTTGTCGCTATAAATCAATTGATTTCACTCTAAGTTACCATAGAATGCACGTACAGCCTAATATTGTATTAAAAAGCAAGTCTCAGATGAAACATGACAAGAGATTTCCTAGGGTAGAGGCAAAGCTATCAAGTGAGCACATGGTGCAGCTCGGTTCCAATATTTCACCAATCAGGAGTACAGTAATTTAACTGATAACTTGAATCAAAAGCAAATTTCAGTCACTAACATACTGTAAGCACATCTTACATTATGCATGCTATTGTTTATCTCACTGCTGTCAACATAATTTTATTTTACCTGCTCCTGAATGGACTTGATTAGTAAGAACATTAATAGATTAGTGTTGTCAAGTTCTCCACAGCACAATTAAAGCTTGTTTAGAAGATGGGCACACTTTCAAATTCAAATTCATCTTGTGTACTTAACACATGAATAAAAAAGGTTTTTATATTACAGAATGATGTCACTTTTTAATAATCACCAATTATCAACGGAAGTGCCATTTTGTGTTTCAAACTCAATCATAGCAGACTGACACAACTAGCACATGGGTGCAGCAGATAATCAAGTAAACTTTATGGAATGCTGGCCCTTATTTCAAGTGGGTTGGAGTATCAGAATAGAGAAGTCTTAATTCAACTGTACAAGGCACTTGTAAGGGCACATCTGGAGTACGAGAAGCAGGTTAAAACAGAAGAACTAGGAACAAGAGTAGGCCATGTGGCCTGTTAAGCCTGCTCCACCATTCAATAAGATCAAGGCTGATCTTTTTGTGGACTCAGCTCCACTTATCTGCCCACCCACCATAACCCTTAATTCCTTTACTGTTCAAAAAAATCTATCTTTGCCTAAAAACATTCAACGAGGTAGACTCCGCTGCTTCGCTGGGCAGGGAATTCCACAGATACACAATCCTTTTGAGGAGGAACTTCTTCACCCACTCAGTTCTAAATTTGCTCCCCCTTATTTTGAGGCTATTCCCCCTAGTTCCAGTTCCATCCACCAGTGGAAACAACCTCCCGGCTTCTATCTGGTCTATTCCCTTCATAATTTTATATGCTTCTGTAAGATCCACTAAATTCCAATGAATATAAGCCCAATCTACTAAAACTCTCCTCAAACCATCCCTCTCAACTCCAGAATCAACCTAGTAAACCTGCTCTGCACTCCCTCGAGTGCCAGTACATCCTTCCTCAAGTAAGGAGACCAAAACTGTACACCTTATTCCAGGTGGGCCTCAGTAGCGCCCTAAACAATTACAACACACCCTCCCTGTTTTTAAACTCCATCCCTCAAGCAAAGAAGGGTAATATTCCATTTACCTTCTTAATTATCTGCTGCACCTACAAACCAACTTTTTGTGATTCACGCACAAGGAAATCCAGGTCCTTCTGCACAGCAGCATGCTGCAATTTTTTATCATTTAAATTTAGTATGTTTTGCTGTTATTCCTACCAAATGGATTGCCTCACATTTGCCAACATTGTATTCCATCTGCCAAATCCTTGCCCACTCAATTAACTGATCTATATCCCTCTGCACACTTTGCTCCACCACTCATCTTGGTCCCCCTTTATATGGAAAAATATTATTTCATTGGAGGCACTTCAGAGACGATTCATTAAGTTGATTCCTGGTGCATAGGGATTGCCTTACAAGCAAAGGTTAAACAGGTTGAGACTCTTCATTGGGGTTTAGAAGAACAACATTGAGACATAAGATTCTTAAGGGACTTGACAGGGTAATTGCCGAGAGGATGTTTTCTCTCATGGGAGAATCTGAGACCAAAGGCCATAGTCTCAGAATAAAGGGCGTCAATTTAAAACTGAGATGAAGGGGAATTTCTTCTCTCAGGGGGTGGACAGTCTTTTGAACTCCTTGCCACAAGAGCTCTGTGGTGGTTTTTGGGGGGGTGGGGTTCAGGGTCCTTGTGTATATTTAAGGCGGAGCTAGCCAAATTTTTGATCAGCAGGAGAAATCAAACATTACATGGAAAATGCAAGAAAGTGGATAGGAAGAATGTCACATCAGCCTACTGAATGGCAGTGCAGCTCAGGGAACAGAACGGCCTACTCCTATTCCTATTTTTTATGGTCTTATGTACTGCAAAATCTGTCAGGATCCACAGTACAGAAGAAAATTCTACTTTACCCTTCAAGTTAGTTGGAGAGTTCAATGCTATAAGCTGCCAGATAACCCTCACTCAGACTTTACTTAAAAAATTTGATCTACACATTTTTATTATTATAAAAAAAAATTTTAAAAGTGAAAGAAGTATAACTCTGCATTAGGCTTGAAAAAAACAATACATGACAACTTCATATGGACTTCTATGAATAGCAAACCTTATTCTGTGACTTAATCTGCTTCAAGTACTTTCCCCCCTAGATTTTGAGCAAAATTAACAAGGTGGCAACCACTCCAACAATAGATTTCCTAACTATTGATTGACTTCAAAAGAACCACAGTGTGGAACAGAACCAGGTGTTGTGTCCTGTTTGGCTACTGGTGAGGTCCCAGGAGAATAGCCATTGTTTAAGAAGGGATAATCCTGGAAATTACAGGCCTATGAGTCTCCCATCAGTGAGGGAAATTACTGGAAAAAATTCTCAGGACAAGATCTGTACGCATTTATAAGTGAATGGGCTTGTTGGTGATAAACAGCATGGTTTTGCATGGGGGAGGTCATGCCTCACTAACACCAAGTCTTTTTTTGAGGTGATGAAGATGATGATTAATGAGGGAAAAGTAGTTGATATTTTCAACAACGACTTCAGGAAAGCCTCTGACAAGGTCCCTCACAGCAGACTGGTACAAAAGGTGAAATCACATGGTATTGGGGTGAGCTGGCAAGATGGATACAGAACTGGCTAAATCATAGGAGGCATAGGGTAGCAGTGAAGTGGAGGGTTGCGACTAGTCGTGTTTCACAGGGATCGGTGCTGGGACCTCTGCTGTTCGTGATCTACATAAATGATTTGGAGGAAAGCATAGCTGAACTAATTAGCAAGTTTGCAGATGATACAAAGATTCACGGAGTTGCGGATAGTGAGGAGGACTGTCAGAAGAAACAGCAGGATATAGATCAGTTGGAGGCAAAGGCAGAAGAATGGCAGGTGGAGTTTAATCTGGGCAAATGTGAAGTAATGCATTTTGGAAGTTCAAGTACAGGTGGGAATTATACAGTGAATGGTAGAACCCTTAGAAGTACTGACATGTAGAGGAATCTGGGTGTGCAGGTCCACAGATCACTGAAGGTGGCAGTGCAGGTAGATAAGGGAATAAAAAAGGCTTATGCCATGCTTACCTTCATTAGCAGGGTCATTGAGTATAAACATAGACAAGTTACGCTGCAGCTTTATAGAACTTTAGTTAGGTCACACTTGGAACATTGTGTACTGTTCTGGTCAACACGCTACCAGAAGGATGTGGATGCTTTGAAGAGGGTACAGAAAAAGGTTTACTAGGATGTTGCCTGGTATGGGAGATTTTAGCTATGAGGAAAGGTTGGATAGACTGAGTTTGTTTTCACTGGAACGCACAAGGTTGAGGGGCGAATTGATAGACGTTTAGGAGATTGCGAACGGCATGGACAGAGTGGAAAGTATGAAGCTTTTTCTCAGGGTGGAGGGGTCAATTACTAAGGGACACCGGTTCAAACTGTGAGAGGGGATGTTTAAAAGAGATGTTTGAGGCAGGTTTTTCACTCAAAGGGTGGTGAGTGCCTCGAATACATTGCCAGAGGTGGTGGTGGCAGCAGACACAATAGCAACATTCAAGCAGCACCTGGAGGAATACATGAATAGGAAGGGAATAGAGGGAGATGATCCTAAGTGAAGACAGTTTTAATATAGAAGAGCAAACGGTGTCATTGCGGACTTGGAGGGCTGAAGACCCTATTCCTGTGCTGTACTGTTCTTTGTTCTGGGTGGAAACTTTAGTAACTGCTTGAAGCACATCATATACTACAGACTCTTTCAAAACGTCCGAGTGTTTGGCCTTCAGTGCAATAAATTAGTTAGGAAATGTCTGAAGTTGTCATGTTTTGAGAGATTCTGTAGTTCACATGCCATGTATATCCAATTTATGGAACTATTTTATATTCACATACAGTTCAATATTTTCAATTTGCATAAATGCAGTGTAGGTTCCCATTAATTTAGTACCAATCTGCAAGTAGTTTTGTGTAAAATTGTACCTTCTGATGTAAAACAGCACATAGAGCACAGTTATCCAACATAACATATACACTCTATCAGCCTAGAGGTTTGAAAATAATTACAATCTAATTTCCTTGATTTACAACTTCAACGTGTGGGTTTGTTGTTTTTAAATAAAGACATTTTAAATAACTAATTTCAAGAAAAAGTACTTTACCTCTTTGTCTAAATCCGGAAACTTATTGTGAAGCTTTCTCAGGATAGATTCTTTTTTCTCAAAATCTTCTACTGAATCTTGTGACTCAAGCTAAATAAAATGGCAAGAGATTACAAAATATTTAGTTGCAAGTAAGTACTAAAACTGAACAGAGCAAGGGATTGAATAATGATTTGACAGCAGTTGAAAACTTTACCTAAAGAGCATTTATTCCTACATAGATAAAAACTGAAAGGACTGCGGACGCTGTAAATCAGGAACAAAAACAGAAGTTGCTGGAAAAGCTCAGCCAGCAGGTCTGGCAGCATCAGTGAAGAAAAAAAAAAAAAAAACTGGAATTACTGTTTCGGATCCGGTGATCCTTCCTCAGAACTCAGGAAGGTTCTGGGGAAGGGTCACTGGATCCAAAATGATGCTTTCTTCACAGATGCTGCCAGACCTGCTGAGCTTTTCCAGCAACTTCTGCTTTTATTCCTACATAGAGCCTTTAAATGTTCAACTATATGCAAATATGAATTTCATCATCCAATGAAGAAATCACAATACCTGCCCCCTTTACAACCTTCAGTAGTATGTCCATTTGAATTGGTTCTGGCACACAACAGAAAGCAAAATCTCAAACCTTGCAGCAAACCCAAATTTACAGCCGTTTAGAATTTAATATAGAAAACAAAATCTATTTATGTGACATGCTTAAACTTCTTTCAAAGTATTATTTTAATTGTGATGAAAGGTATTGCCATTTGTATATTTGATTTTTTTTTTAAATTGAATTTTATTTATTAGCATATGGGTGTTGGTCTATTTTTGTAAAGGGATTTAATAATGAATTAGGTCAATCTTTCCAGAACAGTGACGTGTCAGAGAGCAAATGATTGCGAAAATGTCTGGAGCGTAAATGGAAGTTTATTTATTTTATCATAGAATCCCTACAGTGTGGAAACAGGCCCTTCGGCCCAACAAGTCCACACCGGCTCTCAGAGCATCCTACCCAGACCTGTCTCTCCATAACCCACCTAATCTACACATCCCTGAACACTACGGGCAATTCAGCATGGCCAATCCACTTAGCCTGCACATCTTTGGACTGGGAGGAAACTGGAGCACCCAGAGGACACAGGGAAAACGTGCAAACTCCACACAGACAGTCGCCAGAGAGTGGAATTGAACCTGGATCCCTGGCACTGTGAGGCAGCAGTGCTAACCACTGTGCCATCATGCCGCCCTCATGACTCATGATTGGGGAGAGGAACATTGAAAGACATTAGCATGGTTCTTCGTTTAGAGTAATCAAGATTTTATTTTAACTTGGTGTACTTTTTGGTGTAGACAGAGAAACTCTCTCAGGCGTGCAAATATTCAAGGAACAGTCTTCACAGTTCACAGCACTGGAACTGAGAAAAAGCACTCAAGTCAAAGCTAAATGTTTAATGGGGAAGGAAAAAATTCTATGGCTTCTGACTAACTGTAAAGTGATACTATTGGGGAATAAAAGCAATTTGGCTTTGTCATGTGTTATGAAATCTTTCAACTGCGTTACATTTAAATAGCTTGGCTGATTTATTTTACTTCATTTCTTGTGAGATAAACTTCTGGTTTATTGTTAAAACCAAATCGGCATTGTTCTGTGTCGATGTTTCAGCAAAAGACAGCAACATTAATTTAAAGAAAAACACTATCAAGCCAGATTTCATTTTGGGGTCTGACAATTCCAATAAGCAACATCTGCTAGGATTGTAACACAATCGCTAGGCATAAATAAGGATTAGGGGATTTTCAATTATCCCAAAACTAAATGGAATGAAGAGAGAAGGGAAGAGAGTCCGTGAGGCTTAGGAGCAGCAGGAGGTCATTTGGCTAATCAAGTCCACTCCAGCCAGTGAGATCATGACACTGATAACCCTTAACCTGACCTTTCTGTCTTTTTCTCTATACAACAACTCAGCCTCTACATCTCTCTACAGTAAAGAGTGTTCAAAATTCACTACCTTCCATGAGAAGAAAATACTCAGCTTGGTCTTAAACAGATGACTCTTTACTATGATATTATACCCTCTTGTTTGAGATTCTCCCAGAGGGGGAAACAACCTCTCCACATCTGTTCCATCAAGCCCCATAAGAATCTTGCACATTTCAGCAAGGTTCCTATAAACTGCAATGAATAAAGGTCCAACGTATTCAATGTCTCCTCATTAGATAACCCCTCTAAACTCAGGATCATCTCTGGACTTCTCCAATGTCGGTATATCTTTCCTTAATAAGGGGAGCAAATTTGTTCACAGTATTCTAGGTGTAGTCTAACTGCGCTTTGTATAGTTTTAGGAAGACTTCCCTATTTTTAATACTCCATTCTCTTTGAAATAAAAGCCACCATTAAATTTGCCTGTCCTATCTTCTGAAATTGGATGCTAGCTTTTGGTGGTTCAAATACAAGGACCCCAGATCCCTGTGCTGCAGCTTCCATTTAAATAATATGCTATTTCCCTATTCTTCCTCCCAAAATGCATGACCTTACCCAAACTCTAGCCAGAAAGTAAGATCTAAGAAGTGGTTTCACTGTTCATTTTTGACTAAGATGAGCAGAAATTTCTTCACTCAGATCACTGTAAATGCTTAGTAGTTTCTACCCAGATAGCTATTAATACTTAGTCATTGAGTATATTCAGGCCTGATTTTGGTAAAGTTTTGAATACTAAGGGATGAAAGCAGATGATGGAAAGGTGGAGTTTATGATGGAAAAGGTTTGAGGAGCTGTATGGTTTTTTTTTTTTAAAAAACATTCCAAGATTGTTCATGGGCTTCCAAAAAAATGCTGTTAGGAGACATACACCATAACCCAACCACTAACTGCGACTCTGCAATTAAGTTTTATTTCCAAAGGAATCTGGATTTCGACTGGATATATAATGGCCCTACATCTTACCCAAAAACAACACTGGCCTGATGTGCAAGTACATCCTGCATTTTAAGCAACTTCAATGTCACAGAATTTTGAATAGTTACAGCACTGAACATTCTGCTCATCACGTCTGTCAGCTATCTGAAACAGAAACTCTGCCGGTCCTATCCTTTGCCCTTTCCCTACAGTCCTGTAAATTTTGTCACTTCAGGGGCTCATTCAATTCCCTTTTGAAAGCCATGACTGCATATGCCATTTTGCTTCCATCACACTCAGGGAGTGAATTCCAGATCCGAACACATACTGCACAAACACATTTTATGGTAGTTCTGTCTGTTTTTTCATCAATTACCTTAAATTTGTTTCCTCTGGTTCTCAGCATTTCAGTCAATGGGAATTTCTCTCTACCTACTCTGCTTCGATCCCTCTTAATTTTAAACTCCTCAAATCAAATCTATACTCAAGCATCTCTTTTCTAAGCAGAGCCCCAGCTCTTCAATTTGCCCATGAAACTGAAGATCTTCATCCCTGAAACCACTCTCACACATCTTTAATGTGCTCCCTTTGAAGATTTCAAGTTCTTCCTGAAATGTGATACCCAGAATTGAATGCAATACTCCAGCTGCAACCTGATCAAAGTTTTCCAAACATTGATTACATTTTCTGCTTTTTGGAGTATCCTATTCTGTCAGTTAAACTGCCCACGATCCTGTATGCTCTTTAACCGCTCACTTAACCTGCTGTGCTACCTTGAACAATTTGTACACACATAACCTGGGTCTCTGCTCCTACACCTCTTTAGTATAGTGCCTTTTAGTTTTTACTTCTTCTGCACATTCTTCTCATGAAAATGTATCCTTTGACAAAGGCACCAGGTCAAACAATGGAACAACCTTGCTTATCACCTATACTACGTACCTCAAGAGACACTGCTCCATGTCAACCAACACTTGGAGATGCACTAACATTAGAATTTAGCATGCATCCATAAACATCAAAAGACCGAAGAATTGCTTAGCAGCATCACTAACTAAGCTAGCTGAATCCAAGTGATATTGTTGCTTGACAGAATCTTTCCTGTACAGTGAGGGAGGCATTACAGGAAGAAATCTTCTTGGATTTGTTCTCAATGACATACCTGCCATCAAGACAGGGTACTGAAGGCAGCGTTTGGTATGCTTGCCTTTGTTGGTCAGTGCACTGAGTATAAGACTTGGAATGTGATGTGGCTGTGCGGAACATTGGTGAGGCAACTTTTGGAATACTGCATTCAATTCTGGTCTCCCTGCTATAGGAGAAAATGTTGTGAAACTTGAATAGGTTCAGAAAAGATTTACAAGGATGTTCCCAGGATTGGAGGGTTTGAGCTACAGGGAGAGGTTGAATAGGCTGGGGCTATTTTCACTGCAGTGTCGGAGGTTGAGAGGTGACCTTATAAAGGTTTATAAAATCATGAGGGGCATGGATGGGAACATACATATCAATCTGCACTTGTAGAAAACACATCCCTCACTTCCTTCACCACCATGTCAGGATATCACCAATAATCGGGGAATATATCAGACACCAAAGTACAACTTTCATTTTATTTTAGATTCTGCAGGCAATTTATCTATCTGCATGGCCCCTTTAAATTTTTGCACTTGTGCATGGTAAATAATAAGGGTGACTTGTGACTGCCTACATGAGGGTTTTTGTGCAGCTACAGAGCTTAGTGGGAACATCACCAAGAAGCTTGAATGAAATCGAGTTTATAGATTGCATTGGCTCCAAGCCACATCTTTCACCATCAACATTCTGTTGAATGAACGGGCATATGGCAGAAGTAGTGTAGTCAAAGGTTTAAATGGACCAGCCACACCAATGCAGTGACTAAGTGAGCAGAGCAAATGTTAAGTACTCTGATGATTCACCATACAACCCCTTTCTACAAAGGCTTAGTCAGCACATTGATAAGAGCCTGGTTAGGCGCAAGTGTAATAAGAACAGTCCAACATCTCCCAAGACAAAAATAGTCTGCTTGGTTGGTGCCTGTGAATTCAACATTCACTAAAACACTATGGGGAAGCAATGGCCGAGTGGTATTATCGCTGGACTGTTAATCCAGAGACCCAGATAATGTTCTGGGGACCCGGGTTCGAAACCTGCCATGGCAGATGGTGGAACCTGAATTTGATAAATATCTGGAATTAAGGGTCTAATGATGACCACGAATCCATGTCGGATTGTCGGAAAAACCCATCTGGTTTTCCCATCTGGAAGGAAACTGCCATCCTTACCTTACACAGCAATGTGGTTGACTCATAAATGCCCTCTGGGCAATTAGGCATGGGCAATAAATGCTGGCCTAGCCAGTGACACCCTTATCCCCTGAATGAATAAAGAAAAAAAACCGTGGGTGCAGCAGTGCCAACTGTTGAAGTTCTAAGCTCAACTTTTAACTCAGGAATACACAAATAGTGACTGTTCCACACAGCCAAAAAAAAACTGAATATTTTCAGAATACCTACACTGGCAGTTTATTTGTCAAGTTCTGAAGGGGAGTTATTGGACACAAACTGCTTCTCTCTCCACAGATGTTGACAGACCGAAGTTTTTCCAGCACTTTGTGTCTTTATACAGTTTATCTGACAAACCAGATTAATTAAGGTAATGATTAAGAGTAACTCCGTGCCCAGACAAACTAGATGGTGAAAGCAGGCCTTGGAATCCCACTACAGAAATTATTCAAATTTCACTAATACAATGTCTGATCTATTAATCTGGACTTGCCTGACCATCTACCAATCTTGAGACATTGCAACCTCAGTGTCAGCAGGAAGAGGAGGATATTCAATTAGACCTGCCAGCTCATAATATGGAAGAACCTTAGGTAAAAGAAATCTCCTCTTCTTAGTCAAACCTTCCTTGCACATTTAAGTAGATTTTTACGCAGCAAGTTTTCCAAATTTCTCACTTCTGAAACGTTTGCAATCTTAAATAATAGATTTCTGCAAATAAAAAGAGTTCAACTGCCTTAAAAGATGGATGCAATGCATATGCCTGTACTCATTTTATAGGGTTCTGCAAATTTTATATAATGCGACTGGGAAGATTTTTTTGGGAGAAGCCTTCAGATGATTCAAATTGAAAACCTACACAATTAGGTTTCTTCTTCTTGGTAGAGGAAATAGGTAGATCATCACTTTCTTCAGAGCCGCTGCTTTGGGACATTTCAAGTTTCCTTTTCCGAGGAGTAACTGGAAATACAATGTAAGCTTTAAAAGCAAAGAACTATTGCTCATTTTCAGCAATCCTGTTTACTATTTAACCATAGATCAACATTACATATTAAAAATTTTACAGTCACCAATCAACACAAACCTGAAACGGCCCTTCCCCACCTTCATAAATCAATTCTGTTGATGCTCATTTCTGAATGAAGAATAAGTAGAGCACCAGAGTTATTTGTGTTTTAATCTATAGTTACATGCATGATATGCAGATGCTACATCACTCAGTTGTGTCAGGATAATTCTAAAGTGTTAGCTTGCCATTTTAATTACGGGCAAACGCTGTAAAAGGATAAGTTGAAGACGAGTACAAAAATAGAATCAAGTGTTTTAATGCTTCCAATTTACTTACTCTTCCTCAATATCCATCTCAAATCTCAGTCTCAACTGTTGTTAGCGATATGCTAACACTTCCCACTTTTATACTCCATCTCTTTGGCAGAAGTGCCAAAATTTGAGTTGCCCTCATTACCTACTGCATATGCATACTAATTTCTTGTGCCTTGTACACAAGGACATGTAGAACTATCTGCATCAAAGCATTTTGAAGTTTCGATTTAGATAATGCAAAGTACAAAATATAAATAGCAAACATTTTTGTAAGTATGTAAAAAGGAAAGGAGTAGCTAAAGTCAATGTTGGTTGGTCCCTTACAGAATTAGACTTCCCTTTTTACTTTTCTGACCAAAACGGATAAACTCTCATTAATTCACATCACACCAAATTTTGGCTCATTCACCTAACCTATCCATATCCATTTGTAAATTTGGCAATAGAGTCTTCTATCCCTGCATTCAAATCATAAAATTTAGTCTGTCAGCAGTTAGAGCCCTAAGGATTTAACCCTGTGTCACCTCTAGTTACAGCTTGTCATTTATCTCAACTCTGCTTTTGTTGGTTAGCCAAGCCTCTGTGCAAGTTATTACCCCTTAATACATGTAATCTTACCTGGCACCTTTTCAAATGCCTTCTGGAAATCCAGATATTCCACATCTATGGGATCCCCTGATCAACTTTTCTTGCTACATCTTCGAAGAACTCTAGCAAATTAGACAAACATGATTTACCCATCATAAAACCATGCTGACTCTCGATGGATTGTGTTTTGACTTTTTAAATGTGCCAATAACTACTTCCTTAATAAAGGATAGCAATAATTTCTCAATAATGTTAAATTAACTGGGATATAGTTTCCTATATTCTGCCTCCCTCCTTCCCTTTTTGAACAAAGGTTTTACATTAACATTTTTCCAATTCACTGGAATGTTTCCCGTGTCCAGGGAATTCTGAACATTATAACCAGCGGATCCACCATCTTTGTTAATACTTCCTTTAAGACCCTAGGATGTAGGCAATCAGGCCCTAGGGACTGGTCTGCCTTTAATCCCTGTAGTTTCCTCAGTACTTCTTCCCCAGCGATGGCATTTTAAAAAATTTCCTCCTTTATTATCTTGATGTGGGAGGTGCCGGTGTTGGACTGGGGTAGACAAGGTCACATGTTACACGACATCAGGGTCATAGTCCAACAGGTTTATTTGAAATCACAAGCGCTCGGAACGCTGCTCCTGCGTCAGGTGAAGTGTTCATTTCACCCGATGAAGGAACAGCGCTCAGAAAGCTGGTGATTTCAAATAAACCTGTTGGACTATAACCTGCTTCATGTGACTTCTGACTTTATAACCTCAACATTGCCAGTTACTACTGGATGGTTTCAGTGTCCTCCACTAGGAAAACTGAGACAGAGTATTGATTTACTGTCATTGCCATTTGTGTTCCCCACCATCAACATCCCGTCTAATTCTCTAAGGAACCAACCAACATTCGCTTCAGCTATGAAGGTTCTGAGGAAGGGTCGTTAACTCTGTTTTTTTCCTTCACAGATGCTGCCAGACCTGCTGAGCTTCTCCAGCAACTTTGTTTTTGTTCCTGATTTACAGCATTCGCGGTTCTTTCGGTTTTTATTCACTTCAGCTACTCTCTTTTTATATGCTTATAGAAATGTTTGCTATTCATGTTCTGCATTTTGCATTAGCCTTCTTTCATTATTAATCTTAGATATTTTTACTGTGCTTTTAGTCATCTTTTGTAGGTCTTTAAACATTTCCCAATTCTCCAGCAAGTCACTGACCTTGGCAATATGGTATGCCTTAGTTTTTGCCATCATTTTTAACCTCCCTGTTTAGCCATGCTAATATCAATAAAAACCTTACAGATGGATACTCTGAAAATCTTGATATACTAACAGATTCCGTGAATTGTTGAGATATTTAGTAACTGCATTAATATTGCTAACAAAAAGTTACATTAAAAAGGTGTTATATTTGTTGTCTGAATAATAAGAACGTGAGAACATAAAAACTAGGAGTGGGCAATTCAGTCCCTTAAAGTCTTCTCCATTTGATATGATCACTGCTGATGTCATTGCTGCCTCAACTCCACCTTCTTGCCCACTCTTCTTCATCCTTCAACCTGCAATATTAACTGTAGTTTAATTGACTGTACAAACCAGTCCCTTTGTAGAACGACAGCGTATCCCGTTCCCAGTTCTACACTAAAAATGCACAAGTGCGGTTATATGAATGCACAATATATTTTTTGCATGCTTTAAAAGAACTATTAGGATATAGACAATGG